AGCAAGACAYAAATCCAAAAGGATAAAGAGGCTGAGAGACAAACCTTCTTGAAGTGAGCAGTTTGCACCTTCTCACTGGCTGTGTGTCAGCATCAAAACGAAAATGGAGCCACATTAAAAATGGTATCTTGGCACTGTCAGAGGAAGTGATAAGTATCATAATTGGCCCTCACATGTAGATTATCATTAAACCCTGACACTACATTGGGAGGGAGGATCAAAGAACAGACAGGCACACACATGTTACCCATGTCCTGGCATAGCAAYACTGCTCTCAGAATTAAATTTTAAGCCTGGCCCATGTGCTTGGCCACAACTCCAAACTGTACTGTCTTCCTGCCTTTAGGTGCCTAATACTCAGACCTGCCAGTAAAACACAACAAGAGCGTCTCATCCATATGACCTCTGGAATATSCTGAACAGTAGAGTTTTGTCATCCACATTACAGCACAAAACCCTTCCAGGTTCTCCAGAGCCTGAGRGTGCAGGATCCAGCCACACTTACCTTCAGGCACCTCAGTCTCCATGGCACTGGAAAGTTCATCAGAGCTGAAGTGTCTGTGGTGGGAATCTCAGCCAAAGATGGAGAAAACCACTCTGCCTTTCTCAGCAAGTTCTTGCTTCTCTCTAAAAAAATTATAAAAGCAGCAGACTAGGCCAAAAGTTCAAAGATACACTYGCTGAGTCTAAGCCTCCACTGTCTATACCTTTTTTGACACCTATTGCATGTGGATAAACTGCTGCTATTCTGATTTAATATCATTTTCTTATTCCTACATGTGTTCATGGAGTGGCACAAAGCAGCAGAAAACAGGTTCCACAGCAGGCAAAAAATATTGGCAAAAATGTTCAGGCATCGGATTTCACCTGTCTGTGGCACCAACAGCTCCAGCTCCACATCATTCAGGTTTAAAACACGAAGAATCAGCCACCTCATTTCTGCTCAAAGCCACGACCACAATGCCAAACCTTTCCAATGCAGAGGTCAGTTTGTGTTGGAAAGGGACAACAGGACACCTGACCTGCCCATGGGATCTCTAAATCAAAGAGAGGCTGGAAAAAACCATATTCCAGACTGCTGGAGTAAGTGCAAAATCCTTCCTATGAGCTCTTCTTTCCCTGCATCCCGTGGATGTTACTTCCTCCCAGAAGAGACTTTTCACTTGATCTTTCAGATCAGAGACTGTAGATCTGATTGAAGGATAACACAGACAATCCCTTAATCTTAGCAATGCCACTGGAACAGTTACTGGGGGTGGGTATGGGGTGGGCACCACTGTGATGGGGTTTCCAACAGTCGTGCCTCATGCAGCAGAAGGCTCTGCTGAGCAATTCAGTTGTATTTTCAGAGATGAACTGTCTGGCAGCAGAAGCTCTGCCTCCCCACCTAGCCCTGATCACATTGTTCTCTCAGTTGTGCCAGCACAATTTTTTYCTGCAGCAGCACTGYGAACCACACCACTTCAGGGRAAAAAAAAAAACCAACAAAAAAGCCCAAACAATGACGCACTTGTTAGAACCAGCTCGGCTCCTGATCGGATTTACAGCACACCAACAACTGCAGCGGCAGAAATTCGGGAGGCCAGGGCAGGAAAAAGCAGAGAGGTTGGAACATTTTAAGCTGATGCTGACAGCACAGACAACATGTCATGAAATCAGAGTTTGACAGGTGGGAGAGTGACATAATAAGGGAGGGCATTAAGCTTTTATAGAAAGAAATAGGGAATCAATATTTAATTACAGAACAGCAACAAAGTTCCATTATTGAAAACATCTCACCAAGTTGATACMATTTTTTTATCAAAGGAAACCTAATAATAAAGCTACATTGACCTCAGGACTCGTTGTTCAGCAGTACTTCCCCACTTATAAAAGTAGACATTTATACGCTAATSGTCAAGAGCTAGAAAGATCAGAAAAACAGACAAGAAATTAAGATGTTGTTTAACTCCATTTCAGTTACCAAATTGCCATGAGTATTAAAACAATTTGCATGTGTCTCTCTCTCTCTCACATTAGGTTCCTATCTAATGTGAAGCAATAGTTCTTTAACAGGGTCAGAAAAAGTTTTAAAGGCCATGGAAGGAAAGCAGAAGGAAAATCCTTTCTGTTACAATCAGTACAACATTGTGTTTTTGTCATCTACTGCTGTGGAGAACAATGAGAACTGATGATSCTTTTTGTATAAATGCTTCATGATGACACCAAATCACGCTCTATCCCACATGACATCAGTGTTAGCCTAAGGGGGATGAATGGGAGTGTTGTGTTTTTCCTAATAATAGAAAAAAAAAACAACCACAAAACCATACCTGGRTCACAGACACCTCCGGACACATTGCTGCCTTCCCTCAGGGAAGTGGTTCATATTCTCTGGATGTTGTTTTACTGGAGCTCAAAGCTGTTGRGGGGAGAAAATGCTGGAAACAGTGACATGAGTGCTCAGCCAGACCTGTGACAGTTCGGACATCTGGCAGCTGTCCGAGGGCAGCTGGGGTTGGACAGAGGATACAATGAGACAGAGCCAAAAAGATCTAAGGATCCTCAACAAGGAAGCTGAGATGTCACTCACTTCTCTCCAGGGAGCAGCTCAGAGCCCTTCAGTGGGGTGGGGGAGAGCAGGGGCCAAGCTGGAGGAGGATTGAGGCACAAACAAAGCCAGTTCCCACCAGCTGAGCTCAGGGAGACAGGAATGTGAGGGATGGGGAAACTGGGAAGGAATCAGAGCTCAGGCATTTCAGATGAGCACCCCTTCTTAAACGCACCAATTATTTCAGTCACTGCAGKAAAATGCAAGTAAGGTACTGTGCAAATAGCAACCTGGAGACTGCCCTGACAGAGGGCCWGGGTAGGAGACAGCAACACTCCTGATGAAACAAGGCAGATGAGGTGGCTCAGGGAACAGCTCCAAGGACAGCTGTGAAGGGAACAGCAGGTACACATTCTCCACGCCCACGTGGAATGAGCAGATGATGCCAACCCTCAGGATAAAAACGTCTTGGTAACAGAGGCTGCCATTTAGAATCATAGAATATCCTCTGCTGGRAGGGACCCACAAGGATCATTGARCCYTACTKTTGGCTCTGCACAGGATACCCCCAAAAATCACCCATGTGCCTGARAGCATTGTCCAAATAAACTCTGGCAGGCTCAGTGCTGTCACCCCTTCCCTGGGGGTCACCCCCTTCATGAGCTGCCTCAGAAGGACCCAATTTAGCCAGAGATCAGCTCCAGGAGAGGGCAGACATTTAAGTCATACCTGCCTCAAGCTTTGACAGTTCAGGATTTAAACAGAAGACCCCACCTCCCAAAGTTGGCAAATCCTCTTCATCAGTAAAGCTGGAGCCACACATGGAAATGAACTGTGCTCCACAGGCAGGCAAAGGACAGCTGGCAAAAGAGAACAGCAGGATGAGAGATCAGACCCCAGCATCTCTGAGCTTGCCAACCCAGCACCTGTTGAAGCAATTGCCACAGCAAGAGCTGTCCTGCAGAGCTGTGAGCAGCCGCCAGCCAGCAGCACCCTCCTGTGACACATTCCTGCAGCTCCCAGGCAGCTGCTCCGCTTGGAAAACAGGAGCTGCACTTGTCCCTGCACAACACATGGACCTGGGCATTCCCAAATTCCCTGAAGGGGTATCCCCTCCACCTGATGTGGCCAAACTCCACGATTCCATCCTGAGTTTGTGCAAACAGTAAGATTGTTGTTTTTCAGATTGTATTTGCAGCTGCTCAGCAGATCTAGCACCTGAGAGAGAGATCACTTCAATCAATCACTTCTGAGCATTTTCCAGAGGCAACCTCTGATGCAGCACAGCATTAAACCCTTCAAACCATCTCAGAACTACTGAGAAAAAGAAGGGAGGTGGACATATAACATTCCACCATTGGCAAACACCTCATATTTCCAGCTCCAAAGATGCAAAGCTCTTTCTGCCTTGTATCCAACACTTTGTACTCACTTGTTGAGCAGGGAGATGGAGCTACCTTGTGCCAGATAACACCCACAGCCTGTTCAGGACTTCAGAAACCCAGGCAAGAAATGATCCATGTAAGAGGCTCCTGTAGCTATCAGTGCTTTGGTTCCACTGCTTTTACTTTCACTGCTTCCTAGTTTATGGATCTGCTCCACCTCGAGCTCTTTCTCCTGCTTTAGTCAATCCACAGACTAAGTCAGATATTCAATGATGTAAGTGGATAGGCAAAAACAGATTTTGTACTAGGATTGCTTATAATTTAGTCCAGGAAAGAAGGTGTGGATCACCTTCACAAGTTGGAAATACAGGGAGATTTGGAAAGAACAAACTGTAATTCTGAACAAGACTGATGCGATCTTTCTGCCCTCCCAATACAGAAGGCATGGCTACGATAAGGAAGAACTCCTAGGTACTAGAAGATATAAGGKGAACCCCACAAAGCAATAAACTTGCATATCTGAGATAGTTCTTTCCCCAAGAACCTGCACATTTAGTGTCCTCGATTTCATAAACCCAGTACTGCAGACTGGAGAACATTGCACAAGTACTATAAAGATTATTGTAAGAAGCTATAAAGATTAGGGTAAGGAGATCCAAAGCTGAGGCTTGGTCTCCACTATGGCAAGTGCATTGGAAGGGAATAAGGAGGCTGCAAAGAACGTGCGCTTTCAGACGAGGAAGGAGAAAGGATTGCCAGCACAGAGGCCTCACTGTTTGAGTGAACAGTATCCACCCACAGGTACAGGTGGAGCTTTCCCACAGAGTGCGAGGACAGGAAAATACGCCCAGTCCCTGGCGGTGTAACAGGGCCGGGCACCGGGCCGCCAACAGCGAGGRGACCCCGGCTGGAGCGGGCGCGCTGAGCATGCTGGGACATGCAGTCCCCTCCCAGGGGGGGATGCGCGGAGGGAGAGCGCCTCGCACTACAACTCCCATGATGCTTCGCGTGCACCACCGTCTCCTAGGAGACGCGGGGATGCGTGCCGGGGGTCCCGCCGGGCCGGAACTACGGCTCCCGTGGTGCCCCGCGCGCCGCCGCCGCCGCCATGGAGCGGCGCGTGGCGGAGCGACTCCGCGGCACGCTGGGCCCGCTCGGCCTCGAGGCGCACGCCTTCAAGGTAACGGCGTCGCCGTGACGTCACGGGGATGACGTCACTGCCCGCGGGGCTGCGGGRGCTGAGGGAGCGCGGGGCGGGAGCGKKYCCSGGGSYKSCMWKGGGRWWMCGGGGGTACCGGGGGTACCGGGGGTCGGGGCGCCCCTCGGCTGAGCGGGGCCCGGGAACGCCCCCGAGGAGCCGGCGCGGGTCGATGCGCAGCGCGGGGTCCGGCCGGCCCGCCCGGCAGCGCGGGGCAAGGTGACCGACTGGAGCGGCAGCAGCTGCTCAGGCCCTCGGTGCGGGCCCCTGACCGGCGGGGTCGGGGRWGTTATGTAATGACACRTGKGGCCCRGYAGACGGCAAAGTCCTCTAGGCAAGYTTAAATTTTAATCCAAGTGTGGTAGCGCCTGTCTRTGGATGTGCTGACYGCCCCATCCGCTCCTAAAAGGCCTYTGACCTCTGYTGTGCCCGTGGAAGGAKCCTCTGCAGCCTCTGCCACTGACCCCTGTTCGGCTGTACCTTGCCTTCCCCAAGGCCAATCTGCAATAAATCAATCTGCAATAAGCCAGTCTACAATATCGAACACAAATCAATCTGCAACAAACGTGCCTTTCCCTTGGGGTGTGTTGTATCTGTCACCTGAAATATTTTTATTTCCTGCTATGATCTTGTTTGCATAAAAAACTATGAGGTGATGAGAGAAGTAATGAGAGGAGTGCCTCCAGAATTTTGAAAATTAAATGCTGCTTTCCTAAAGTACATCAGCAGAATTCRGGGCAGAACCCAGATAAAAAGACTGTAGGTAGCAGAGGGGAAACCTGTAGATCTCTCCAGATTTAATTTGACACAGCCAGCCCTGATGAACTGACTGATGTGCAAACCTCAGATTCMCATCTCTAATTCCTTGTAACACCTYGGTTCAGCACCTTAAACAAGAGCCACAGAACTGATTAAACTTAGAGRTTCATATAAAAATGTAAACTTGATAATAAACCTCATTTTTGTTCTGTGTTTCCAGATGGGCAGTCTGGCTGCCATTGCCAGCTGTAGAGTCACTTTCAGAGTAATTTCTCTGATTATTTAGAATACCAGTACATTTCATTTTCTGACTTAATGTTACATTACTCAGCATCTTTCTAAATACTGGACCTGGCCTTTGTGGCACCCTGGGGGAGTGGGAGTTGCCATAACCTGTGAAAATATTGATGTTACTGYGCAGGGCATCAGGAGTGGGGTGCAGGAGTTGTTTTCTCCTCCCACTTGGCAGTTGCAGGTGCAGATTCCTGCTGCCCTGGAATCAAATATCCGAATGTGGCTTGTCATAATGCACATGCCACTAATATTATTTTTGGGGGGTTTTAGCACTRCAAGAGCTTCACATCCTTCATTCCATACAAGTGTTTCCTGTAGAAGTAAAACATGCAACTTGTCACACGAGCAAAACAGAAGCACCAGTTTCTTTCTGGCCCAAGATAAGGAAAAAACCTTGTAAAAGCCTTATCTGAAGCAAACCATCTGATTTGCATTGGCAAGACTGGTTGCTCATACTTCCCTCTAGGTTTCTGAGCAGAGCTGGATAAAGGGCAGACTGGAGCTGAATGCTGTGTGTGATTCTTATCTCACAACTCACAGCACAGCTTCCCCAAACTGAATCCTGGTGTGCAAAACAACTTGGTTTGAAACAAAGGCTCTGGGCAGGCTGCCTGTCTGGGTTGCAAATGAAGGGGGCTACAATTATTTCCACTTTTTTACATTCCTGCATTTCCACTAGAATGGTGTCCCTGTTTTAATGGAAATTTGTGTTTCTTTGCCGAAGGTTGGGTGGTACAATGCTGTTCTCCAGCCAGCCTTCCATCTCCCCTACCCAGATGACACACTGGCCTTTGTGGTTCTCAGCACACCTTCGATGTTTGACAAAGCCCTGAAGCCTTTTGTGAACAAAGAACGATTAAAAATAATCAGGGATCCTGTGGATCAGTGCCTTTCCCATCATTTGTCWCGTGTGAAGGAGGTAAGAAGCTGAAATACCGATTCCTTTCAGTGTTGTGGCACATGACCAGGTGGGTTGAGCAGCAGACAAAGCCCTGCAGGCTCCTGCCCTGCTCTTTGGAAGGGTGAAGCATTATTCATGAAGGTAAAAGCCTCAGCAGGCTCTTGGCTGYTTTACTTGCATATTCTGCCTCTGGATTACATCCTGCAGCTGTGAGGGAGCTTTRCAGGCACAGGCTGAATGCCCAGGGCCACAAACCTGCTGACAGAATTCAGCAGCAGGATCTGGAAATCTGCAGCCTTCGTGTGTGCCCAATTTGCTGCCATCCAGCAATTCTGGAGTGGCAAAGCTTTTTCCATGAGCCTGGGCTGATGTTTTCAAATTTTCCCAGAAATTCCCTGACCAGAGAGTGGATGTCATGTTTGATTACGAGATTCTGCCGAGCCGAAAGCCCAAGTTCCTGGCACAGACAGCTGCCCACGTTGCTGGAGCTGCATATTACTACCAAAGGAAGGATGTGAAGCTTGATCCTTGGGGGAAAAAGGTGAGGCAAAAACTGTCTGGGAAGAACCATTAAACTGCARCCACTGAATTGTAAAACAATTGCTTGCTCACTAGTCACTAGGTCATCTTGCCGGAAATTACAAAGTCCAGAGCACTTACAGGTCCATAAAGTGTTTCAGATGGGAATTGAAGCTTCAGAGATTCTTCTGGATGGAAGGGAGATGTACACGGAGAGAAATACCCTGATCTGTTAAACCTACTTAGAATAAATGGCAATGTAAAGGAAAACCTGTTGCCTGGAGCATTATAAATAGGGGGGAAATKAATTGTGGTTAATTTCTCTTAGATTTTCAGAAAGAAACCCCTCCCCACATTCCAGGGAGGTGTGTGTGGGCACAGGAAAATGGGAATGAAATGCAGTGCTTCAAGCCATAAGGTCAGGAAAGAGTTTTCCTTTCTGCTCTGTAGAGCACTCCCAACAGAGRGCTGGGAGTGTGAGAAGCATCTGAKGCTTTGAACGCTACCCTCTATTAGAGACAAAGTGAGGTGGCTTCGATATTTTTTTTTTTTTCTTCCAGAAGATCTACGGTGTGTGTATTCATCCCAAGTACGGAGGCTGGTTTGCTATCCGGGGTCTCGTCCTCTTCCCAGACATTCAGGTGCCATTCCTGGAGCAGCTTGCCCCTGTTGACTGTGTGAGCACGGAGGACAAAAGGATTGAGTTGCTGGAGCAGTTCAATTTCCACTGGCAGGACGGCCGCTACAGGGACATCATTGAAGTGAAGGAAAAGTACTCGGAGGAGCAAAAAGCCTATTTTGCCACTCCTCCAGCCGAGAGACTCCGGCTGCTGGGGCTCACACAGGAAGCCGAGAGAATCACATTTCACTGAGTAACTGGCTCCGCGGAGGGCAGAGGGCAGCAAAGGGTAACTCATGAGCACCGGCTTTCCCCGGTGCTAAGAGGAGGAGGAGGAGGAGGACGGTGTGCTGATCCAGAGATGCCAAATCAATCCGAACATCAGCTCCCCGGAGAGAGGGGCACTGCTCCGTGCTCTGGGGAGAGGTGGGAGCAGTCCCACCATGCTGCTGCTGATCTGGGGTGCTTCTGGGGATGCCAGTTAGCCTTTGGTTGGGAATAGTCCAGACACCCTGGCAACTTTAAAACCCGTGCTGCTCATTAGAGAACTCAYGTTCTCAAGAATTTTCTTTCCGAATGTTCTCGTTTAATTCATTGCAAGTGTAAAAGAAAAGTTTGTCATTMATTTGGTTTTGTCTAAACATGGGGCAGGTACTTTTTTAGATGTATSCAGCATTTTATTATCTATCCTGAGGAATACATGTTCAGTCTTTTCAGTCTTGCTTAGGTCACATTTAAGCATTTGTCCATTTATAGAGCAGCTCACTGAACTATTTGGAAAGTAACGTCTATATGAGTGGAGTTTTTACTCATCTTAAGATAACTGAAAAATACAATTCTCATGACCTTTCTAAGRTAGGTAGTGTTTGGGTTTAAAGTATTTTTCAGTGCCAGCACACACCCCACACCCCACAGTCACTGCCACAGTTTCCTGGTGTGCTTTCTGTGTGAGGAAGAGTGTAAACCTGCACAAACATAAAAGCCACAGCACAAAGCCTTGTAACATGCAAAACAAGCACAGAGGAAAGGAAAATATTAATGACATTCATGTTACTTTTATTGCTGGCTAAAACATGTTCAGACAGAAACGTAACATTCTTCACATTACTTGGTCCTTTCAGATTTGTCCAGAGGCTACGATGGCACTGGAAATGAGGAATTAATGTATCTTTGATGAATTAGAGGCTCAGATCTTGTTAAAGTAATAGAATACATTAAAATAATACTTTGTGGGAGTTGTTTTACTTGACTGCAGTGCAACGCTGCAAATGGTTAAGCACTTTGTTCCTTCTGATGGTACCAACATGGTGATGCAGAAATACTCACTTGTAGAACTGAGCCTTTCTCTTTATGTTGGGATTCCTCAAACCTTTTGGAGACTCAAACACAAAGGTTGCCCTCAGTAAGTCACTGCTCGATACAGTTTCTCAGTCTGTTCACTAACTCACTGTAATCCAAATGCAGAATAATAAGTTTGCTTTCCTGTAAACAGAGTAGTGAGCATCTGATCACTGGGTTTGTTCGTTGGGTTTTCTGTTACAAAAAAGTCTTTGTTGCTTTCTATGCTTTGTTCACCTGACTCAGTGTGTGATAGAGGTATTGTAATTTTTAATTTAAGTAAAATAATGAAATTTGTTTTAATTCTGTWCTTYCGTTACAGAATTRCTTCTGGTTGAAATTTGACTCTGGTTGAAAGTTTTAGAACTTTCCAACTGAACTGTAATTTAACAGGGGCTTGAGCTAATGGCTTATATTAGTAATAAGCACGAAATACTGATTCTCTTAGAAGGATAAATATAGATTGGAATCAAAGCTATCTTTTTATATTACAATTTAAAATACTTAGATTTTTTGGCATTGATTTCTTACAAATATTTAATATTTTGTTTTAATTTATTGAACAGATTACCGTAGCCATTGCATTTCAATTTTTGTAATTTATTTCTCTTCAAATGGTATTTTGGTTAATAAAATATACAAAGTTCTAAGTAAACCTCAGTGCTGAGTATTTTTATTTAAATAAAAATGCAAATCTTAACTTGCAGAGAACTCAAGATGTTCAAGCAAGTATCAATCRTGGTGTTTTTAATATCCTGAAAACAGAGGGAGTAACCTAAGACACACACAATCCAGTGTCTGCAAACTAAGGAAAAAATCGGTTATCTTAGCAGAAGTTAGTAAACTTACCACAGGCCCATCTGGGATATGAAAAATAAAACATACAGCACATTATGAATAATTCCAATAAAGGTTTATCTTTCCCAGGTCATTTCAGCAAAACCATTTAACAGCAAGCACATGACAATGCACTTTTCATTTCTTCCTCTGTTCTTACAGTAACAGAAGTTCCAGATGTCCAGTGAGACATAATCGAGGGACTTTCCCTCAGTAGCATTAAAGTAAGACCTGCAAGTACTGGAATTTTTACTGGTTAAAACTTACTAGTGAACACTGAGTCACAAACTTTCATTTCTGGTGCTTCTGGGAATACAGTTGTGTCAGGCAGAACAGAGTACAAATATTTAGCAATAACCCTTCCTGCTACAGTGATTTTGGAGTGACTTGGATTGGACATTTCTTTCTCTTAGCCAGTCTCTGAGATCCACAGCTGCAGTAGTTTTCTCCCYTTGCTGCTTGGAGTATAATGGCCTTTGTCTTATAAAACTGAAGTTTGAGAACCTGTTTGACTTACCTCATTTCTTGGGACAAGACCAGACACGGTGAGGAATGGATCAGCCTTGCATCCTGAGGCACTGTGAAGGCATTCTTAGTGCCAGCACTTCCAAATGTCAAACAAGTAATTGCAAATACTTGGATAGATTTACTAGTTCAAGTAACACTTTTTACATTTTCAGACAAGTTTTTCTCTAAATACTGATTTTTAAACATTTATTAAAGACCCTTTTTTCCTTAGCACAACCAGTAGGGTGAGTATTCAAGAGCTGAACAGGAAAAATAAAATAAATTCAAAGCTACTTGAATTTAAATTCAGTTTTAGCAACAAGGTATTCAGTATATTTCAAGCTAATAAAATARTTCAGGGAGAGTTAACAAATTTGCAGTATTTTCATACGTGTAACATTTACCATTCTTACTCTCCTTCAGTTACAGTTCCCTTTTTTTCTACTTCATTAACCTTAAAATAACTGAGATTCTTATAAAAGTTAAAGATTTGACAGACAATACCAATTAAACACAAAGCATAGACAACCTGGTGAACAACAGCCATCAGGGTTATTGCTCAGAAAACACCTGAGAAAACACTGTTGAGGTTTTTGGTATCAGTTAAATCAGTTACATCTCCGTGCTGCAAGAATAAGCACTGAAGTTTCTTTGTGGTATGAAATAGAGTGTGGCAAACTTMATTCCTGATATTGCCTTATTTTCTTCTCCCATAAAAAGAGTGGCTTGCAACAATCCTATCCTCCTCTGAACCATGGAAAACTAAAGATGTTTTGCTGTATAAATCAGTGCTGGTGTGTCAGACAAAAATAGCCAACCTTAGGAGAGCAGTGAACTCTTTTGTTTGTTGTTTCAGTGGGGGTTTTGAAGTCTGGTTTGGGTTGGTTTTTTTGCTATGTTTTTGTTTTAGGTGTTTTTTTTTGGGGCTAGATTGCCCTCCTCTGGATCAGAAGCATAATTTAATTCATTCATGGTCTTTTATTCAAGACCAAAATTATTGTTGATGTAGATACGATGTGACACAGGGTATATTTCTGAAAACGCGCATTGACTTGAATTGAAATTGAATAAAAAAAACCCTTGAGTTAAGACTGATGCATTTCTAAAAACAAGAACTGGCAGCTACTGATCAGTGCTGGTTATCAGCACYCTTTGTTAAGCCTCATGCAAAAAAAGTGTATTTAATAAATCAGCCTTGAATACTGACTTCAGCAGCAACAGTTCAAAATTCTTCCTCTGAGGGGAAGTGGTTTTGCTGTTCGCTGCAGCAGAGAAACAGCTGCACCTCTGCAACCTGAACTTTCACAGATCCATCCACCAAAACAGACAAAYGTATTCATGAGAGGTTTTTGCTGTTAAGTTGGCTTCCTGTGCTATCATATATCCTGTGACAGACCATCCATCACGTTTCCTTCAGAAAACACAACAGAGCACTTCCCTTCTAGGTTTTCAGGGAGGGAGCAGAGAGCACCAAGGAACACAAATGTGCTTTTCTTTCCTCTCTGTGACTGAAAAAAAMCCCACCAGATAGATGTTCACATTCCTTAGGAAATTTGGTGGGAAACTTGAAAGAATTGAATATCWTAGAATGACCAGTAAGATATTTTAGTGGAATGTTTGAAAGCTCTCCAGTAGTATGCGAAAATCTGCAAAATATTATATATGCATACAAATATTTTAAATTACTACTATCATCAATTAATATTTCATATAATACAATTCTCATGTTATCTTGGTTGATGCTTGTATATAACTGAGCAAACAACTTTACTTTTAATAACTGCATAGTTTTTTCTCCAAAACACTTCAAAAGTTTCTGAAAATCAAACACCTTTACACTAAGTTGCTTGGGCTTTTTTTCCTCATGTAAAACAAACCATGGGGAAGGAAAATTCCTTTAAGTGGATTACAGAAGGGGTGGAGGGATTTTTCTKTGTTTCTTAAATTTATGCAGAATCATTGCTTTTTCTATTAATGTATAAACTCCCTTATTACTTTCAAAGGAATTAGTCTCAGGCTTTAATTTCATGTCTTAACCTTTTTTCCAGTATTGTTCAGACTAGTCTTCCWGAATCATCCACTGGTGCTTCAGTCTTCCAAAATGTAAAAAACTGCCTTATTTTTGCGAAAAGTGAATTTGATCAATATATTAATTTTAGATTACATTGTTTTATTAAGTGTAGATTAAAGAGTTCTTTCCTTTCTAGACAAAGGTTATTGGTTTCATTTGCCACTGCAGACACTTCAAAAATCAGTTGCTGTGGAATATGGAACATAAACCTACTGGGCTCAGTTTCAGAGGACAGTGCAGACTTAATGACTTCACATAGATTTAGTCACATATCTCTGCTCAAATGGTTTCTTGCACAGAAACGTTCTAAATTCAGACACGTGTCCCCATAATATGCACAGTGATTTAAGTTTCAGGTGAAAGAGCCAAATTTCACATTGAAGTCCAAACCTTTCATCACTAGGTGTGGTGAGAATTGCTTCCCACAGGCTCAGCTCTTGTTGAGGAACACTGCAAACAGCTCACAGCCTGTTCTGCAGCCACCCAGGGCTGTGAGCACAGAGCCCTTGGTAACACAGAGTTTCACTCTACCTTAAAGACAAACTTCTGGTTTTCCTTTTGTAGGATTAAAAATAAAGTTAATATATTCATCAGCAATAAAAACCCTGCTATTTCTTTGATTTCCTAGTTCGGTGTTCCTTTTGTATGTACCATTACATTTAATTTAAAAAAAGGAGACAATAATAGCTGTGACACACTTTSTGAATTAATTGTCCAAGTGTGCTGCATTCCACTACTCTGCTCTTACCTTATTTAACTCTTTGCAAAGTAGACACAATACATTTCTGGTTCAAGTCCTCTATCTGTCTAGCAATATACATCAGAATATACATTTACAGACTGTCACGTARTACTGAATACTGAAAATTTCAGAGRATATGTATTTTTCAGACTATTAATACCATAAACCCCATTATTCTGACATAATCTTTACATAACTGTTATTTTGATGTATAACATCACTAAAAGATACTTTCATAGGGCTTTTGCAAACACACTTTCGTAACCAAAGGGCATCATTTTGMAACACCTGTGAGATACAAAATACTTGCTTTTGTTCTTTGAACTGTATTGATTTGTTGGACAATCCAATTACATATTCAGCAAAGGCCTGATAAAGAGGCTGGAGTACTTGTTAAGAAAATAGTTCTTTCAAAAATTAGTAACTTTTAATACTTATCTTCAAAACTACTGAGAAACTTGCTTTATAATAAAATGCTAATTCTTTAAGTATTACTAGGCATCTTTTCTCGTAAGTATCTAAATAMAAATACACAGTTTTTAATTTTGAAATAACAAACTCATAGAAGTTGTACAAAATCTAGTGAAGGTTGGGTTCTGTACTATGAATATTGAACATCACATTCTATGTATGCTATGATAAACATAAATAGTTTATGTCTGATGCACAGCTTGGTGTGATACATATCTAAAATATCCTATTGCTCTTACACAAATACTATTATTTGAAAACTTAATTACAAATATCTGTCACAGGACAGGGACATGAGGGAATAAACTTTTTTAATTTTAGATGATGAGAACACAATGCGTGTGTACCGGGTTTGTGGGGCAAAGTTTGACAGCGGGGGGGTCACAGGGGTGGCTTCTGTGGGAAGCTCCCTGAAGCTTCCACCATTCCCAAGGGAGCCAATGCCAGCTCTGGGATAACAGAGTTAAAAATGGGGAGAAAACTGCAACAGCCTCACCACAACAGAGAGGAGTGGGAGAATGTGAGAGRAACAGCTGTGCAGGCACCAAGGTCAGTGAAGGAGGGGGAGGAGGTRCTCCAGAGCACAGATTCCCCTGCAGCCTCATTATTTCTCATTATCCTACTCAGATTTGATTGGTGTAATGAATGGAGCCGATGTCCCAAGTCTGTTTTGCCTGAGAGAGTAACTGGTGAATGATCTCTCCCTGTCCTTGACCCACAAGCTTCCCACTCTATTTTCTCTCCCCTCTCCAGCTGAGGAGCGGATACATAAATCCCCAGGAATCACATCAATCAGCTACAAATTATGAGATTTAGGGAAGAGACACCGCAAGATGTATTTCAGTCTCCCTTCATCTGACTATTCTAAATTATTCTAAAGAAATGAATGAATAAATAAATTTATAATAAGCACCCAAACTAGAGAAACAGATGTGCAGTCACTCACATATTTTTAAAAAAGGCAAATGCCACATCCATTCTTTCTGATTTACATCT